AAGATGTAATTCTGTGCTATATTCATCTCTGAACAGTATGTGGGGGGTATTTTACTGTTTGTTTTTCAGCTCTTAGCTCCGAAGGAAAAGCCAAGAGAAGGAAAGAGGAAAAAGCAACGTAAACTTCCTTATGCTGTAGATTATGGTTGGGTAAATAAGTAAATTCTTCATCTTAAAGTGAAGTCACATATCCCAGGCAACAGCAAGTTTTCATTACCTAGGATTTGACATTTTTCTGCATCTCTTTTTTTTCTTTCTTCATAAGGAAAAGAAAGTTGTTTGATTTTTGGACCAAAGCTATTGTTTGATGACACCTTTCCTTTCTTCTCTACCCTGACTAGATCCTAGTTATGTCAAATGCATCAAGGAAAGCCGCAACAGTAGGTGAAATTGTTAATCTGGTATCTGTTGATGTCCAAAAGCTAATGGATCTGATTATCTATTTCAATGGGACCTGGCTTGCTCCTATTCGGATTATCATCTGTTTTGTCTTCTTGTGGCAGGTAAAATATGATAACAGTACCTATCAATCCCATTCTATTCTAGGTATCAAAGGAAAAAGGAGTTTTCAAAATTCTGCTTAGAAAGCCATATTTTTCTTAGCTCTGTAGCACCGTGGATTCACTTTTCTTTTCAGAAGACATTTTTATTGGTATAGAATCCTTACCTGATCCTTCACTTCACCTTCTCACCAGTGTATTCAGCATTCAGTCTCTTGTAGGAAAAAGACTGTGAATATGGTTATTCTGAGCTGACTGAAACTTCTGCCTCAGGTTTTCCTGTCACCTCTCTTTTCAGTCAAAATGTGGTGGCCCAGTACAGGCTGAGAATCCAGTTCAACCTCCTCAGCGTAGTTACAGAACATAAAGGAGAATGGTCGGAAGCAGCAACTTGACATACTTCATCCTGAAGCCTGATTACCACAAGATCAGTGAAACAGTTTGAAGCAACTTATATGATATTCAAAGAGAGTCTTGGATACATTGAATTTCATACGTTTCAAGGCATTCAGAAATGAGAGAGCAAAACCTGAATTAGAAATATAGGATAATGATCTGAAAGATTTTTTTTTTCCACCTATTTCAATGTATGGTATTTTCTCAGGAGGATAAAGCCCTATTTCTTAGTCCCTGCTTTTGACAGCACACCAAATGGAAGTATAAGCACTATAGAGAGAGGTGCTTCCCAGGAGCTTTCCAGAGGCCTTTGAGACCTTCTTTTGCTAACCAGAATGGACTGTGCCTTGTACCTGGCAGGATACTATGACCTTGGAAAATTAGTAGCAATGGTACAAGACTGTTGAAAAATCATCATCACTTTTCTAGCGCTGTTGACAAGCTGAACGTGGTTGCGTGTTGTTGGAACGTAATTAACACTTTGTTTGCTAGCGTTCATAGACCATTTGTGTAGAGAATACTTTTATGTCTCTGTGTATGCCAGCACTCACCTCTCTAGCCAACATAAGCCGTCTGTAGAGAGATGTCACTAAACCGTGAGAAACAAGCTCTCTATTTGATACTCGTCATTATGAACCCTGGTATCCAAGAGCTGTCTCAAGAGTACATGGCACAGTATAATGCTACCACTTCATCTCACTAGTTGACATAGTTTCAGACAAGCTAAGTTATTTAATTTGTTGAGGATTTGAGTTTGTTTTTTAAACAAAACCTGGTTTTGTTTCGGGTCACTTACTTATACCAGCCACAAGATGTCCTCCTTAACACATCCAAGAACAGATGGGCAGAAACAGAAATGACTCGCCAGCGAGCTACTGGATCACTTTCAGCCCTAATCTAGTTCCTTTTTAGGGAAGCAAATAAATTCAGCAGAGCATGATAACAGGAGTTCCCCTGCCTGGAGAGTTAACAATCCACAGTGCTTAGGGAGCACAATTCCCGGGAATGGCAAAGGCAAGATTGGAGTAAAGCCTTCGCCATGAGGGATATTAGGCATAAGTTCAAATAAGAGGGAAGGTAAGCAAGGGGGAATGGAAAACAGTTGCTTCTAGTAATCACCAGAAGTTCTTCCTCTTTCATTTTCTCTCCCGGCAGCTTCTTGGGCCATCTGCCTTGGCTTCAATTGCTGTATTCCTTTGTCTTTTGCCTCTGAATTTCGTCATCACCAAGAAGAGGAGTCAGTTTCAGGTACATTTTGCTTCATAAAGATGAAGTGGGTTTCTGACTTGAATAATGCTAAGATACTACTTTTAAATCTAAGTTAAAGGCTGCCATGCTCTTCCAGGAAAGGATCACATGGAACCCAAAACTACTGACGATTACAGTAGGCATGTTGGGAAGAAAAAAAAGTAGTATGGTACTGAAGCATATCACTAACATTTGACATTGATAGCTTAATATTTATTATTCATGCTGACCATGACTGTCTGAAGGAGCCTAGGAGAATTTGAAGCCTGCACACCTTCTTGAAATTTAGACTAAGCTCTTGCACATTCAGTCTTTTACCTTGTTTACACACCTTTTCTGTGTTTTTTATGTATTGCCAGTAAAAAAAAAAAGCTCTCAAGATGAAAAGCAAAATATTTCCCAAACTGGAAGATTCATAAGTAAAACAGTATACACAGCTCAACTGCAGGGAAATTTATTCAGAATTCATGGGCAGGAATAAGGTGTCTTTCAGAATAATTGCATCGTTAAACGTTCAACCTATTAAATGATAAAACTCGAACATTTATTACAGGAGACCCAGATGAAACACAAAGATGAGCGGGCCAAACTCACCAATGCCATTCTCAGCGACATTAAAGTAATCAAACTGTATGGCTGGGAGAAAACCTTCATGGAGAAAGTGCTTGGTATCCGGAAGCAAGAACTTCATGCCCTAAAAAGATCTCAGATTCTCTTCTCAGCATCTCTAGCTTCTTTCCATTCATCAACTTTCCTGGTGAGTGGTTTGCCTTCCTATGTAAAACATGCTATTACTTCCATTTCTCTGTGTACCCCTCTCTGGACAGATTTTTCCTCTGGTACAGTTAAAGATAAAGTCTGCCTGGAGGAGTTGGTGGTCTCACAGGAGTTGCTAAGCTCCAGTGGAATCAGCCACACAGTCATTTACACTGTCCTAACAGTTCTATGGACGAGTCATCTGGTCTGGCAATGTGTTCCAGGCAGAGTGAGCCTGCTTTGCAAGAACCGCCTGGAGACCTCCAGCTAGACAGAGTTCATGGCACAGTCAGTAGCTGCATAAGCCGCTTTTGGACTTGCTGTTGCAGCTCGGCCATGCGTGTTTTCAATGGGAAATGGCTGTGCTTTCACCTTGCTGTGGATGCAGCAAAACATCCTTAAAGCAGAACAAGTGTCAAATGATCAGACTTGGTTTTGTCACCAATATGCAAGACCTTTGCCTATGATATTGGCAGGACAGGTACCACGTATATGGGTGATAGCCTGGACTTAACTGAATGGGTTCCAGAGTCTTTACAAAGGGGCCTGTCACCCTTGAGCCATTCTCTTCCCTGTCTGAAGCAAATGGTTTGCTTTTCCTTTGCTCCCTTTCAGATCGCATTTGTCATGTTTGCTGTCTACACCCTGGTGGATACCACACACGTCCTGGATGCTCAGAAGGCCTTTGTATCTTTAACGCTGATCAATATTCTCAACACTGCACACTCCTTCCTGCCATTCTCCATAAATGCTGCTGTCCAGGTTACTGGCAGGCTATGTGCCTTTTTCTTTGGCCATAAGTGTTTTTTACGTATCACCTTTAACAGGTAAAGGCAGGGATTTCTTAGGGCTTTGAACGTAAGGGCTAGCTATTTAATTGCTATTGTGAAACAGTGAAATGCAAGGACTTGCAGCTAAAGGTACTTTGTAGTATTGTTTTTCAGAAAGGCTCCATGTATTGACAAAACAGTCATCAAGAAAAATTCTTCAGTCTTTTGGGACCAATCACAAGGACCATTAGGTCTCAGAGGTGCTTCCAGTTCTGTTTTTAATCACAGAAACCTGAATAGATGGAGCAAAATCTCCATGGGAGATCAGTGGAAACCCTGCTAGCCCAGGCCAGAGAGAAAAGCAAGTCATTGACCAGTAAGAAATTGGGCAACTGCACTTTGCTCTTTCTTTAAGACGACTGCCACAACTCTTCATGTACAGAAGCAATGGCTGGAAAGATTGCAGGATGAAATGGAGAAAGAGACCAATTTCACTGTGTGAACAGAAGAGAAAACACAGGGAAGAATATGGTTTTTTGCTAAGCTAAGTGGAAATAGTGCTGCCAACAGCATCTGCAACATAGCACCTAGTCAACAATCTAAGTGGGTCTTCAAGCTGAGTCTTTCACTTCACGTTTTAGCTCACTTTCTATTCTAAATTATTCTTTTGTGTGCTTCTTCATTTCAGGCCAAAGTTTCTTTAAACCGCTTAGCAGCTTTTCTGAATCTGGAAGAACTGAATCCTGAGAGCTCAAGCAGAAGCACTTCTGACTGTGGTAAGCTTTTGTGTTAGCATTGTTGTCTTATAAGAGGAGTAGTTTGCATTGTTCGGCTTCCATTCTTTTCTCTCTTGACTACAGTAGGCACCCTAAATGTTTGCCCCTTACTGTCACTTTATCTTTCAGGCCTATTTACTTCTAAAGATTAAATCTAATTTGGTAATTAACCCCTTCTTTCCATACTTAAGGTTAATTTTATGTAATATAAATACACAGTGACACATAAAGTTACATAAACAGGGATGTTTCTGTACCTACCTTTCAATTTACAAGTGTTCTGTTTCTTCTCATATTTTAGTACAGGCAAGTATCACCATAAGAAATGGGACTTTTTGCTGGAGCAAAGAAACTTCTTGTCTTAGAAGGTACAGACTTACCCTTAGTCATCTGTAGGTCAGGGTAGATGCTGAGTAAACTAATTCCTCAGGACCTAAGTGAAACCAGCGTGGAATATCTAGAGGCTTCTGAGTTTGCTTCATATTTAACACTGAATTCTGAAAATTATAAAGTCAGACGAAATGTAATCTTGCTTTTATGCCTGGGACCATGTAAATGGAAAGATGCCTGTACGTGGATGTTGCCTTAATATAAGGAGACTACTTTCCTTACACAATTTTCTTGTCCAAATATGGAATTAGAGTAATTTAAGTCAAAAAAGTAGAGGTGATGGTATGCAGATATTATATAAGACATCACTACTTGGTTATTTCAAAAGGCATTGCAGTTTTAGAGAAGAAATGGTGTTGAAAAGTTCTGATGGTCAGGAATGTTTTATATGCAGTGCTTTGCTCTAGCCTGTCTCCAGAGAGGGGTCCTGGGTCTTGGGTCTGAGTTTGAAACTCAGATGGAGACGTGGCTGAAGACGTTCTGGTTGGAGGCATCTTTGAAGGGATGACTCCTGTTCTGCTGCAAAAAGTCAGCGTGACAGGAAGAGTAACCCTGTGTAACTGAGGCCTCAAGTATGAAATTAGGGGGTTTAGTTGGTGTATTTTTATTGCTACAAAACAATAGCAAGAATTTCGGTCATTTTCTTTTCAGAAAGTGTACTTAAAAGGTGATCAGAGATTATCTTTTCTCTCTAGGATAGATCTTACCGTGCTCCGAGGCTCCTTGCTTGCTGTAGTTGGCCAGGTGGGTGCTGGAAAGTCCTCCTTGCTGTCAGCGTTACTTGGTGAGCTGGAGAAGACAGACGGCTGCGTGACCATGAAGGTAAATTTTCCCCTGAGTGTTTGCTTCTAATTAGGCTGTCTTCAGGAACAGTATTAACCAAAGCATCAGGTACTTGATGAAAACCCATTTACTGCTGGATTTTAACAAAGGTTGTATGTAGCAGCCTGCATTTAATTATCTGAAGGTGCTTAAGACCTCTCGGATGAGCCTGGCTCTTGGGAATGGAAACTGGAACAAGACTTCAAAGATCCCATTATATTTCCCACTCTGACAGCGAGCTGAAGTGGCATTCTGGTAAATCATGACACGTACTTGCACCTCTATTTCCTCCCATATACGATAATGAGACTGCAGACTCACACTTTGCAAAGTCCTCTGAGACCTGTTAATAGTGATGATCATTCCAGATTTCTACAAAGCTAATTGGGAGAGTTATTCTTCAAAGACAGGTTCCCACAGTGTCAACTTGAGCTTATGAAAAAGACTGTTAAAATTTTTCCACTTCCATTTTTATAGGGCACTGTAGCTTATGTCCCCCAGCAAGCTTGGATACAAAATGCCTCAGTGGAAGATAATATTCTCTTTGGGAAAGAGATGGATGAAACATGGTTCAATAGAGTGATAGATGCTTGTGCACTGCAACCTGATTTGGAGTGCTTCCCTGCAGGGCGGAAGAGTGAAATAGGAGAGAAGGTACTGGCTTAGTTTTACATTTTGGCCAACTTTTCCATGAGTAGCTACAGCTTTGCGTGTCCTGCTTAAAACACCTACAGAAGGACTAAACTTGCAGGGGGCAGGTGCTCAGTAATTTCTGAAGAGTCAGGCCATGACTTAACAGAGTCTGAAGCCCACTTCCTGACAGTTAACCTAACCAGAGATATAAGAGCTGCTTAAGACAAAAATCAACAAATCCAGGTCATTCTTGGGTCCTCTTTTGCAGGAGAGTGGAGTTGCTCAAGAGAATCTGCCTCTGCATCTCAAGAGCCCTATTTGGAGGGAGGGAGGAGAGGAGGGAGAGAAGAGAGAGAAATGCACTGATTTGAAAATAAGGAAGTTGTAAAACCTCAGGGTAAAATGGAGCCTACAGTTGGCAAATATGCTGTAGCTTTGGAATAAGCAGTGTCAATACATTTTTACAGGGAATAAACATATCTGGAGGGCAGAAGCAAAGAGTGAACCTTGCTCGTGCTGTGTACCAGGCAGCTTCAATTTACCTACTAGATGATCCCCTCTCAGCTGTTGATGCCCATGTTGGACAGCACATTTTTGAACATGTTCTTGGCCCCAACGGCTTACTGAAGGACAAGGTGCGTCATAATTCCTGAACTGTAAAAGATTGGAAGATATGTCTAATTATCAGGGCCCCTGAAACCTTTCCAGTAAGGTGCATTACTCACTTTATCAAAGCCTCCCAAATTCTTTTTTGCTAGTGGCAGCGGGTGTACTACAGTTAACAGTGGAAGTGGAATAGGTAACCTCTGCTGTCCACGCAGCACATGAAGTCCTACAGTGAATCTCACCTAGGAGGAAGACAGAAAAGTTAGGTTCTCCTGAAAGACTGGCTTTATCCTCGTGCAAACCACATGCCTAGTTCCAGCCTTACTTCTACAGCAAGTTTACAGTTCCTTGGTCTTCTGTCAATGTTATCTTTCTCCCTTTTTGAGATTTACTTCTAGTATAGTTAGGAAGAGCTGTTTGATCTCTTCCAGCTCATTTATCTTATCATAACATCTAATCCCATCACTTTTGATTAGTTCAGTGATGCCTTTACAGTTCTCGTCACCCAAATGTTCATCACTTAAACTTCAGTCTTAAAATCCATCTTAAACACTTACCTTCCATTCTGCTTTTCCATTGGTTGCATTTTGTTATTTCTTGGTATTTCTCTGCTGTCAAGCAATCTGGATAATAAATGTGGTTACATGAGAAGGGATGCTAGGGCAACTGTTAATTGTTTCATGGTATAAATTGCCTACAAATACTTGATTCAATTTCAAGTTGTAGAAGGAAAATAGATTTCTTTCATTAGAAAGTCCAATTAAAACATATGTCTGATTATAAATATCTCTCTCTTCATGTGTAGACAGGTTGCAAGTGTTGCAAGTATTAGAATGTAATTATTGTATTGAAACATAGAAAGACTGGCAAAGAAAGCAGGTATCAGACTTAAGCAGTACTCAAAGGGCTTGACTGTAAATTAGAAATTACCATGATATGGAGGTTAATATATACCATGCCAATTTGTTATCTAGGGAGAAATTACTTTCCTTATGTCCTTTCCTACATGTAATTATTTGTGCAAATATGCTCAGAAATTTAAATGACAAGGAGCTGCACTCTACTTCCGTTTAGGTTGATGAATTTTTCAGGCACAAATTTCATTCGGAACTATTGATATCAGTGACAATAAATGTGATATACGCTTCAACGAACATCATTCTACTGAAGAGCTTCAGCCTGAGGGGAATCAACAACATGGAACTGGTCAGCGAGCCAAGTAAAAGGTTCTCCTACACACAGGGTGCTAGCCTGGGACTGCAGGCTTCAGTTCCCGTCCTCTTTTATGCTGTGCGTGACACAAAGGAAGTTGATTCACCCCTCTGCTCCCGAGCTCTGCACTTTCAAAGGGGGCAGAAAGCTGTGCTGCAAAGATAAACTTCATCAAAGAGCCAGTCAGAAGTGATAGGGATAAATAACAAAAATATCTCCAAGTTAGTAAAAATCATAGCTCATACTGAGTACATGTCTTTCTTCAGATGACAGCTGACTGCAACAGTTGGAGTGAGCAGAGAAACACCAGAACAATTGTAACTGTTCCCTCTTTATTCAAGCAGACTCGTGTGCTTGTGACTCACACAGTCAACATTTTGCCTCAAGTGGACAACATTGTTTTTCTGGTGGATGGAACAATCTCAGAAATTGGTTCTTACCAAGAACTTCTACAGAGAAATGGGGCTTTTGCAGAATTTCTTCATTCACACATTACTGCAGAAGAGAAGGCTGGCTTTCCAGGTAACCCAAACGAGTTAGAATCATTCTTCCCAGGTCTATCAGTCAATTGTTTCCTTAATATTACACTTAATGTTAAAGAATGGGGCGGGGGAAGGGGGTCTGCTGCTGTTCACATTTGGGAAGAAGGAAAAGAGAATAAAACTGGAAAAGCCAGTCTTATATTTGTTTTATTACGGACATTTAAAGCTGATATCCAATCACAGTAAGCTGTCATTTTGTGTGGGGAAAAAAGTGCCCGTCAAATTAGCTGACTCATCACCTCAAAATTGGTTCTTGAATAAACAGTTCCATCTTAGTAGACAACAGTCACGCAGTAAACAGAATTACCCACTATATATGCTGTTCTTCAAGCCTCACCTTGATATTTCCACCCTTAGAAACAATTCTTTGTAATGAATCCTTCCTCCGTATTACCAGTCTCTTAAAGCTATACAAGACAAAATGGGATTCTAAAGCATTTAGGAAAAAAAAATAAATATGCATTTTTCACAGCTATAGGAGATACCAGATGCACCATCACCTCTAGAAATGGTCCATCACAGGAGAAGCTCTTTAGGTAAGCTTAAAACTGTCTCAGACACTGAAGAACTTGTTCCAAAAGCCCATACAAGCCTACATGGAGGCTCTTACTGAGTATGATACATGTTTGGGATTGATCTGTAAATTAATAGTGAGAGCAAACAAGCAAAACTCAAGAATAGGTAAGAAACTGCTCTTGAATGTGGAGGGTGACTAACATTTTCTCCACATTTCACAAGGAGCCAGAATTTGTTCCAGAGCTCACGTACAAGGCATGTTGATATGTTTGCTTGCTGCTCACTCAGTGGGGCTGTAAGGTCTGACTCATGTCAAACCAACGACAATTAGTGAATGCTTAAAGCCTCTGTTAATAGCTTGACAGAGCGCAGTCCCTGCGATAAATATGGACAATGGTTGGGGTCACTTTGGAAGACCCCCAAAACTGCAGCCCTCAAAATAGGCATGAATGTAGGGGTGGATGGGTAAAGAGATCCAGCTTTAAAATACTCATTGCCTTGGCTAAAAATTGAAAGGATTTTTGTTTTCTTTATGAAGTGACAGTTCAGTCAAATCTTCTGCTATGGAAAGGGAGACCATTCCTGTAAGTCAAGACTGTACCACTGCTGCAGCCACCAAAGGAAGACTAACCAAAGGAGAGAAAACTCAGCACGGCAGGGTAAGCACAGCACCTTCCTATAAAAGCAAAGACACATACCATGGGTTCACTACTGACCCACTCATGGTAGGCGGGTCAGCTGACTGCCTAAGTTAAACCAGGGAAGTCAGCTGAGCTGTACAAGTTTGCCCCATAATTGACACAGGGTCGTTTCAGCATTATTCTACATAGCACCTGTGCAAACTGTATCTCCCTGGATGCCCCGATGTAAGCACTGGTTCCAAAATAGGAATAATGCAGGTACGTTGCAGAAAGCACATTATGGAAATGAGACGGGGGAAAAAAAGGTAGTTTGTGACCACTTGAGGAGATTGATCCTGACTCAAGAGTTGACCTGAAGGGGGCAAAGCACACTGAGGCAATCAGGGTGACATGGTGGTAAGGGACAGAAGAGGATAAGATTACAAAGGATTTATAATCTTGGCTCTGCCCACAGATTCTTGAGGCTGGTGGGAAGGGGCAAGGAGGCACATCAATGCTCTCATCTTGCTCAAGGGAAACACCTCAAAAGGCTGAGGCAAGGAGGGCACTGTGAAAGGAAAGAAATAGATGTGGGATTCCAGCTAGGAGGAGTCAGGCGTGGATGAGGCGTGTATTCAGGGCACACGTTGTAGCAGCAGTAAAACATGGGGAGGAAACAAATAGCTGAGGCTACCCACTGGTACTGAGAGGAGTTGAGAGTAAGAAGTCAGATACCTCAAAGGAGGCAGCTCTTCCCCTAGGGAAGCACAGTATTAGCCAGACTGGGATCTCCTAACCTCTGCTGATCAGCAGTTACTCACACAAGCAGTCAGTGGGATACATGATAGTTCTCACACTGAGAAAAACGAAAACCACTGCCTGGTATAAGGAAAGCCTCACATGCGTTCCAGCAGTAACACACGCCTATTGCAATAACATTCATCAGTTGATAGTAATCACTCATTAACACCATAGATTTATTTAAGTATGGCTTCATTATTCATCCATGAGGAAAACAAAAAAAGGAATTAACATGGTTGCTATGGCCCATGACATATAACCAAGTAAATATGCCATAATAAATCATTCCCTGTTTCAGAGCTGCTTTTCCTTGCTAACAAGCTTGATCCTCCAAGCCGTTCCTCCTTTTTTTCCCCAATTGTTTCACTCTAGGTTAATAGTTCAATTTATGTGGCCTACCTGAAGGCGACAGGCTTACCACTGTGTGTGTACATCATTCTGTTGTTCACGTCTCAGCAAGCTGTGTCGTTTTCTCGTGGTTACTGGCTCAGCATGTGGACAGATGACCCTGTTCACAATGGGACACAACAGCACACCGAGCTGAGAGTTGGAGTCTTTGGTGCGCTAGGAGTCATTCAAGGTTCGTTTAATTTGCTCACCTAATTCTTCTCTGTATTTCTATCTCCCTTTCCCACATCCAGGATGTTTTCTCAGAATATAAACAAGTGCATACCCATGGGCTCTTAGCTTACTGGGCTTTTGGCACCAGCCCTAAAGGTTTGGCATGAGACCTAAAACTACAGGCTCTGACGCACAGGGGGGATTTCTAAGGGATCTGAACAATATTTCCAGCGTTACTGCCTGAAATTCTACTTCATGGTATGCAAGAAGTGTTCTTCTGTGCATTTCAGAAGACCATGAAGAATAGCACCTTCCTCTGTATTTCCTGCTGGAAATGACCTGAGCCCCTAAAAAATCATTCAGCAATGGAAGAACTACATCATCCTTATTTTTGTATCCTGGCTCCTTGTATCCAACATCTTCTGCATATCTTTCTTTCTCTTAGCCTTTTCCATTTCTCCCATATATATTAATCATATCAAGTACAAGCACTGACTCTTCCCTATGATGAGTTAAAGCTTGGTTTAGGTCTTTTGAGTGTTAAGGAGAGAGAGAAAGAGGAACTTGTGGAATTCTACATTTCTTGAAAAATGGCCACAATTCTTTTGGTCAGTCTTTAAACAAAACAAAGAAAAATTAACTTGTTGTAGGACAGAAATCAAATCTGGAAAAATCTCAGCCCAAGGGATAAAAGATTGAGAAAGCGTTGAGCAAACTGAATAGTGGGAACACTTCTGTGCTAACAATGAATCTATAGGGAGGAAACCTAAGACTTTGAGTAATTCAAAGTAATTCCAGTCAAGCTCATTTTGTGAAGAATAAAGAATTTTTCCTGCGTGTTTAAGTAGCTGAATCCTTGGCCCCCATCGAGCTTGCTTAGAAAGTCTTCCACCCCTCTGTAATTTACCCTGCAGCTCTGAGGCTTGGCTTAATCGCTGCCAAAGAGACAGTCAGCTCCTTTCACTAGTATAGCATTCACAGTACTAAGTGAAAATCGTGATCTCGCAAAGGAGAACTCCAAGGTGAGTTTGTTCAGACTTAGTAATAATTATTATTTTTCATATTACAGCCCTTGGCAGATTTGCCTCCACAGCAGCAGTCCTTCTAGGTGGCGTGTTAGCATCGCACAAGCTGTTTCTGCAGTTGCTGATGAACGTTGCTAGATCCCCAATGGTCTTCTTTGAGCAAACACCCTGTGGAAACTTGCTGAACCAAAGCTTCTCCAGAGAAATGGATGCTATTGATTCTGTCATCCCTGACAAGCTAAAGTCCTTGCTGGGGTTCTTGTTCAACTTGCTGGAGATCTACCTTGTGATAATAGTGGCCACACCAAGGGCAGCAATGGCCATAGTGCCATTGACTCTTCTTTATGCTGCAATCCAGGTAGGAGCTCATAGAGATACACAGACAGGAGAGGCTGAAGCAGCAGGGCCATGTCTCTGCAGAAAACCTTCCATTTCCTAGGAGCGGAGGCATGCAGAAACTAGTTTCATCATTTCGAATTGCACCTGAACAGGAGTAATGTCAGCAGCTCTTCCCACATCACCTCAGCCTTCCAAAGCGTCCCAGGGACCTCACAAAGAGGCTTGTGCTTTTCTGATGTCCAGATCAAATCTGGAGCTATATTCCTTGTTTCTGTTAGTGTAAACGCAATCCTGCTAAGACCAAAAGCATTTTTCCTTTCCTCCAATTCCTCCTGCTTTTTAATATATCCACGTATGCCATTTACCTCTCCCATTGGGCTCTGAAACCTCAAATGCTTTGCCAGCTAGGACTGAATATGAGTAAAGGGCAAGTAAGGGTGCAAGGACGCCTCTGTTCTCCATCACAGAACGATCAGGGTTGGAAGGGACCTCTGGAGATCATCTAGTCCAACGCCCCCGCCAGAGCAGGGTCACCTACAGCAGATTGCACAGGACGGCGTCCAGGCGGGTTTTGAATGTCTCCAGAGTGGGAGACTCCACAACCTCTCTGGGCAACCTGTAAGGGTTGGGTCAAGAAAAGGGCTGGTCTACAGGAGAAAGTAAGCGTGAGTTTAGAGGCTTTGCAGAGTTCAGAACACCCTGGCTTCTTGCATTAACTAACCACAGGGTTATTCTTAATGAAGATAGGACATAACAGCAGAAACGCTACCTCACCTTTTAAGGGCATCTGTTACCTGCACATTAGGTTTCATAACACTAGGATAGTACATACAACTGCACTTGTTGACACCTTCCCAATTTTTCTGTGGAGCACCTCCCCTGAGGCATAAACCTTCTAATCTCTTCCCCTTCCATTTCCCTTTGTACCAGCACTTCTATGTCATCACCTCCTGCCAGCTGAGACGCATAGAGGCTGCCAGCAGGTCACCCATCTACTCCCACATTTCAGAAACTTTCCAAGGGAGCAGTGTGATCCGTGCTTACAAGGACCAGGAGAGGTTTATTTTGAAGAGCAATTTTCTAGTGGATGAGAATCAGCGAATATGCTTCCCTGGAGCTGTTGCTGACAGGTACAAATCTGCAGTGTCAAAAAAAAAAAAAAGGAAGTTTACTCTCACAGCCTTGGTGAGTGGAGATAGCTGCTCTTGGGGCTTGGGTGGAGGTACACAGAAGTTGAGACAGTGGTGCACAGTGTTTTGGTGGTAGGGTAGCCTCTTTCATTGTCACTTACACTGTGCGCCTCTCTGGCAACGTGCCCCTCACACAGCCAATACAGTCCCATCTCTGTTGTGTGGCTGGGCACACACCTGTGCTGACACACTGCTAGAGGTATCACTTGGTGTCCAAAATGCAGGAAGCTGTAGTACATGCCTGGTGAGGCCCATCATCCCATGACAGAGTGCGTGAGGCCTGTGGTAAATGCAGAACCCATCAGACAATAGAGCCATCAGACAATCAGCCACCAGTCGTGAAGCAAGTGAGGAGTACCAGAAGGAGTGAGAGATGTTAGACCAACTCATCCAAGAAACTGCATGCTGGCTGCTCTCATCCAACAGGCCTTAGAGAATATCCTAAAACAGACCATAAGCCAACCAGTTTGGACAGACTGGAGCCATTCATGATCTCCAAGGTGGCTGGATAAGAGCAACCAGTGCATGACAAGAGCTTTGTTGAGCATCCTGTACCCCAGCAGCTCCACAAGTGTTTTAAAAAGCAATCACAGATTCTGTTGGGACAAAGGAAGAGGGCACGCAGCAACAGTCCTGTACTGTCCTCCTCTTGCAGGTGGCTTGCTACAAACCTGGAATTTCTAGGCAATGGCATCGTGTTGTTTGCAGCACTATTTGCAGCAATGGGCAGAACACATCTTAGTCCAGGAACTGCTGGCTTCTCCATTTCATATGCTCTTCAGGTAACTCAGCATCAAAGTAATATCATGCTTGCCTTTCAGCAAAAGCAACTTGCATTTTAATTTCTGCTACCATTTTAATTTCTAAGAAATCACGAGTGATTTCTGTGGATGTCTAGATGCCTTCTCCTACCAAACCCTGCTGTGATTGCTGAAACTCAGAGCATCTGGAGCACATGGCCCCTCATGAACACATACACCAGCCATCTTTTTCCTCCTGCATCTGAACTCATACTTAAGTCACAGCATGCTCACTGAAGCAAGGTCTTCAGTGGCTGTGGTATCTGCTTGTAGACTAGTTACACAATAACCTAAGAAATAGCTATGCTACCTTTTAGCATCCAAGTCAGTAGCATTTCATTCTCTATAAACTTGCTGAGAAGCAGCTATATGGGGACCTGGCTAGGCTCTTTAAACACAGCTTTATAAACTTTCACAAAGATCCATGGTTATTTCTTAGCCTTTTAAGGGATGATTTCTGAAGCAATTCACTGATTAGGAGGTCTTTATTTATAAACACTAAGTCAAAGTACCAGGTACCTCACAAGCACCGGTCAAGACTTATCTGCCCTAGCACTTCTATTTCTTTCTGCTAGATAACTGGTGTTCTGAACTGGATGGTGCGCTCGTGGACGGAGATCGAGAACAACATTGTTTCTGTGGAGAGAGTGAGAGAATACTTGAGGACTCCTAAGGAGGTAGCTAACCAACTACTGACCTTATTAGCAGAGGTGAAGATCTCTGCAAACTAAATGCATATCTTCTCTGTCCCACCTGGACAAACCCCTAGTTTTCCCCTTTGAAAGGGCCAGTTATATTTCCTTTAAAGAACTGCAGCATTTGTTTTTTATCCAACTGACTAGACTTGTTTTATAACCTCTGATCATCATTATTTCCTTAAGACAGTTAAGCATTAGATTTCCATTAAAATAGCTTCACTTGGTAACACTCATGGAATGAGCCATATTTTCTGCCCATATTTGGAGTATGTACTTATTGTGCGAGTTCAGATGCAACTCTCTGATGACTGCTAGATAGCCTTTTAGCCACTAGAAGTCTCCAGTGCAATCATTTTTGTTCTGTAGTCATTGAAATTATTTCTCCATATGCTGCTCTGAGATCCTACTAAAGGAGACTTTCACAGTTCTGTTTACAGGGGCACATAAATCTTTTTTAATTGAACCACTCATAATGTCAGAACTCTGACATGCAAACAAATGTTTGTTCCCATTTTCAGTTAAGACGATTGACTTTTTACTTTATGCAAAGATGGCAACATTTGCAATATGAAAGTTAGAGGCCTTTTTCTCGTTTGGAAACAGTAAATAGAGTGGGGGAATTTGGCATAGATGTCTTCATAAGTTTCCCATTTCAGTATGGCCACTTGTTTTGGTAGTTTAAATCAGCTTTATACATCACTGTTTGTTTTCATCTATTTAGGCACCCTGGACTCTGAATGGCAAACTTCAAGATCAAGTTTGGCTCACTGAAGGAAGAATTGAATTTAGGAACTATAGTTTGCGATACAGGCCAAATTTGGAGTTAGCACTGAAGCATATCAATCTAACCATCAACGGGAAAGAGAAGGTAAGAAAAGCCACTTGTTTCAGAAGAGCTACAAAGTGTGAACAGTGCTTTGCAGTGATCAGATCTAGTCAGATACAGTCCCTGCCCTACACCAAGGTACAGTAACTTGCAAGCATGAAAGCTGCAGTAAGGTATGAGCCCATCTATCACACCGCACACCTCTTCTAGTACAAAGAAGTGTTTCCAGAATTGCTGCATACATTAGACATTCTTCTAAGTGAAATTTTGTTTCACAGAAGGTTAGCAGAGTTACAGCAAAGGAATTTCACTTTTAAATCTAACGCCACATCAAGGCCCTGTTGTAGCTGCTAAGTCTTGTAGTTACTCTTCTCATCAGAGTTTTTCAAGATTCCTTTTCATACAAAACAATTACAAATTATAAATTATGCCCCTTTAGGAATGTATTGCTAGACTATGTGAATCTTGAACAGCCCTGAAGATTTGATCCATGCAAATCTGTCTCTTTTCAAAAGGCCAAGAGGAATTACATGACAGGTCTGTCCAACTGTTAAAAACAATCAACATCAAAACCAAAAGCCTTCCATTACACTTTACAGATCGGCATAACTGGAAGAACAGGAGCTGGGAAATCTACTCTTGCTGTGGGATTGCTACGATTAGTGGAAGCTCTGGAAGGAATGATCCTAATTGATGGACTAAATATTGCTCAACTAGGTCTCCATGACCTTAGAACCAAGATAACTGTCATTCCCCAGGTACGAAATTAAGTTCCAAAATGCTCCAGCAGTGTTGTAAGTCTTAACACCTAGGAAGGGTTTATAAAGATTCTGTGAAAGGAGAGACATTCAGAAATTTCAAAGTTGGACATAACCTCTCTGCCATGCCTGTCTCCCATTCAATATGACATTAGCCACAGATTTGCACCCAGCAGGGAAAACTGGACAGCTCATTTTTATAATTAATTTTAGGAGTTGTTTGTACTGTCTCTGTGCTCAGGATCCAGTTTTGTTTTCTGGCTCTCTAAGAATGAATCTCGACCCATTAAACCGATACAGTGATGCAGACATCTGGACAGCTTTGGAACTGACTCAGCTCAAGACCTTTGTTGCAGATTTGCCAGACCAGTTGGAATATAAGTGCACTGACCAAGGGGAAAACCTAAGGTACCTTATCTGCAGACAGACAGTGGCAGAGCAGTGGCAGCCCGTGGGCTAGGAAGACATACAGCTAGTAAGACAAGGAGTCTAATTCATTTAACAAAAACAAAAACAAAAACAAACAAAAAAAAAAAGATATGTATATAGGAGACAGCAAATTGCTGCATTATTGTCCTATTTAGCAGCATGAAATCAAATTATAAGACACCAAGTGGAAGACCTTTGAGACTTAATCATTGTGGAGGCTTAAGTTTGTGTAGTGCTTTACACACTGGAATCCCATTCCAAGTGCATATCTCCTGGGTGCTGTAGTAATACACTCCCTTCATTTCCTTAGGTTGTTTCATGCTGTTACCTGCAGTGCCACCAGCCCCAATCACCCTTTCATGGAAAGGGAACAATCACCTTTTGATTACTATTTTCAAATTAATCACATACTCTGACGCCAGGGAAAAGTGACTAACGCTCTCAGTTTACCATACCTCTTCTTACTTGCAGCACTGGTCAGAAACAGCTGGTTTGTCTGGCCAGAGCACTTCTTTGGAAATCCAAAATCCTCATTCTAGATGAGGCTACAGCAGCAGTAGATTTAGAAACTGATCTTCAGATTCAGTCCACCCTGAGGACTCACTTCAAAGACAGCACAGTGTTAACAATAGCTCACCGGATAAACACCATCATGGACTGCGACAGGTAATATCTTCAGCCACTTTCCTATGGAGGAAGGAAGACACAGGCAACCTGTGTGAACTAGACAAACCACAGTGTTAGTGAACAGCAATTTAATTTCTGTCATTTTCTTGTTTAACCCTCAAAACTTTGCTTTAGAGATTGTAGGAGCTATCTTACATCAGCAAGGCACCAATAGGTTAATCAAAGATCATTTATTCTCACACGATGCACTTCCTGCTGTGTCATACCCCTTTTTCCCCACTGACAGCGAACCATAGCTACAGCTCTTTGCTTCATCTTAAAATCATGAAGCTAAAATACACATTCACAAATCTTACTCCAGTCTCAGTTGCCAAAAAGCTCTCCTCCCACGAACTCAGTACTTTGAATAGTCACTCATCAGAAACCTATTTCTATGCCACAGCTGTTTCCCAGCTGAAAAGCTGCTGAAAAGCTTGAATAACAAGCAAGTACTGAAATTTGGTTTAGAAATAAGTAGAAATAACTAAGTTTATTATAGCTGCTGCTGTATCCCCAAACTTATACTTCCATTTTAATTTTCACAGGATTTTAGTCTTGGAAAATGGTCGGATAGCTGAATTTGATACTCTGGAACACTTAATAGCTCAGAAGGGACTGTTCTACAGACTGATGGAAGAATCGGGCCTTGCATGACTCACTCGCAGAGTATACCATAATGCCGCTACTATCAGGAATAATTGATCTTGTAATTAACAAGTTGTCTTGTTTCACTCGAAAATGCTTGACACCCAACCAAATCTTGTTTGAGCTATAACCACAGTGAGGAGATAACAGGTATCCCAAGTCATCCCTTTTCATTTCCATAGGAAACTTAGCAATTCCATTTTCGTTATGTTCCCAGATACCAAAATCTCACTGTACTGTTGAAAACGAGCTAGTCAGAACTTAAACGCCTTGTTGCTTTTATAGTGTAAAAGCAAACAAGCCAAAAGAAAGATCACAGCATTTCTGATTCATACTATAAATGGAGCCCAAATATACTGCCACACTTAAAGATTACACAGATTATTTTATGGACAGCAAACAAGAATTTCAGTGGTAGCAAGCAAATGTAACTGTTCACAGCTTGTCCTAAGTTGCAGCCAGAACAAATTTAGTCTTTTGCCAGTGTCTTAAGGACTGCTTACCTGAGCGCTGTTCTTACACAGGTATGGTGGACTCCAAGACAGCGGCTGAAACTAGTCACCCAAAGTGCACAAACACTGGGCAAGTAGGGAAGTGGGATGCCACTAAGCGTGAGCGCTTACAGCTGCCTGTGGGCTGCCTGTTGTGGCAGCTGGGGATCAGATCCACTCCATCTCTTTCTCTGTCAGCTTTGGAGGGGCCCCTGAGTGAATCATGCTGTGCAGAGGGCTGATGGACTGGCTGGAGGAAGAAAGCCAGCTTAGCCGCAGGCTCACTGATGCAGGAGAGAGTAACTTGGCTGGGAGTGGCCAGCAGAGCATCATTCCTTCCGCTTGAAGGCTCGAGCAGCCCTGCTGCCAAATGCCAGTTGGTCACATTGGATAATGTCTAAACACCAACATTTCCAAATTGAATTTGGCCACAAGGAAGTTGCATGGTGGCAAGTGTCCTCCTCTGATCCCTGCAGTGTGGCAGTCTGGCAGATGGGGAAAGTAGCAGGGACTCACCTGTTGAGCTGGTAGTTTTCTTCTTGAGTGCAGGTTTACCTCCTGCATGTGCCACCCTGGTGCTGCAGAGCCTCTGGCATGGTCATCTTTCAGATGTTACTTTAACAAACAAAAACAGCAGCTGAAAGCAAAGCCTTCCTGGGCTTCCCACAGTGCCAAGGAGCTGCAGTCAGAGCTGTCCCTAAGTCTCTCCTCAGGAATTCCAATAAGAAAATGTGACAAACAAGTCACACTGTGAGATACTGCTGTTTACTGTGACTTTTGTTTAAGCACTTCATTTTCTAGACAGCTGAAATAAAAATAGAATCAAGTATTGAAATGACTCTCTTCAGTAAGCTAAAGTAAATATAATATAAAAAGGAGAAATGGGGGAGGGGATGGAAGAGTTCAAATTGGCAAGAATCAACCCAGACCAGCAAAATCCAGCAGTTTCTTCACTGACAGCTGTTCAGTAGCCTCTTCACCCATATTAAGAGCAGTTAACAGTTTCTGCTGGACGAGCACCTAAGATACCAATGTCCAATGCCTGCTGCCATACTAGTGCTCAAATACCAGGAAAGAGGCAATATTCTCCGTCTACTTACTCCAAACCTTACTCAAGGGCAGAGAAAAAAAAATAAATTCAAACAACAGATACAAGTTATGAGCACTGTAAAGGTTTATCAATGGATCTCAAAACCAGGAGCATTTAAAACTAGGAAGATATAAGTTCAGTATTTTTTCTTTTAACTGAGGTCAAAGAGAAACAGAAGTGCCCAAGTTGCTGGGTAATTCTGAAACAGACATCTTTTAGCATACCATAATCTCTGATATAAACATCTTTTAAATGCTCACTTGCCTTTCCTAAGTTGGTAATGAAGAGAGACAGCAAAAGAATGAGAAAATAATCAAAACATACTTTCACACTGGTAATCTTCGAAAGGGCGCAGTTTTGCTGTTGGCTTGCACAAAGTAAAAGCCAGCGAAAATACCATCAGCTTTCACAGGTCAAGCTGTGCTGAAAAGGCAAAACAAAAGCGATTCCCAAAATTACATGTAAAAAAACACCCTGTGTTTCAGATGAGCCAGAGCCCCCAACTTTATGTCCAAGTGGTACTGGGAGTATGTGGCAAATCAGGAGCTCAAGTCGCACAAAAAAAGGTAATGGTCATCACAAGGAAGTTATCTGGAAGTTGGTTAAAGCAAGATATATAAAGGGGTTAATGCTTGGAGATACTATCCTCTCTTGAAAATCTGGTTTAAGGAACAGAAAGCGATGTTTAAAAGGACAGGTCTGCTAGGTCTTTGCAAAGGTACTTCCTCCTAGGATAGACTATTTTGTTGAATTATGCAGTTAGCACAGGAGGTACCTACAGCAGGCTCAGAACTATGCTAACAGCCTATTTCATAAGTTGCTCTGAAGAAATTTTAAATAGTAAGAAATAAAAGTCTGTCCAACACCTCCAGTAATCTGAATGTCTAGAGCTGATCAAGAGGAGCGCCTGGACTTGCCCTGTCTACACTTCTGCAGCATTAATTTTTAGTAGATATCGTGCAGTGTAACTGCAACATACACAGAGCAGCTGTGTTTATTTAGCTCAGCAGTAGCTACCCACTCAAACTCCAAATAAAATCCATTAATCTAAAGAGGGTTTATTGACATCTCTGTGGCTTTCCAACTCTATTTTCCTCTTTGAAGCAAACCAAGCGTTTCACTCTAGGTCTAGCAGGGACTCGAGAAAAAACAAGTTTTTCCCTAGACCAGAGCAAGAAGACATGATGTCCCTGCATTTCTGTGGGAGAACCTGTACTTCCAACCACCCTCTTGGGCAGGTAGGCTGAGTTGTGCTCCCACCTGAGGCAGGCTGCAACTGGACTGCAACTTTCCTCCTCATTTAAGGAGCTCTCAAAGTGAAAGCACAGTATATGCAGGAGACAAAAACAACCTAAAAAAAAGGAGAAAGACTCTTGCCCCGTGATTCCAAGTTTAAGGTAGTACCAAAATTGCGAGAGCTAGAAAATAGGAATGAAGGTGCCGTGCGTTGATTTACACCAAGTTCATGCTAAACATGCAGTTTGTAAGTCACACTCCTAGTTCCCTAGATGGTCACAATGTGCACAGGAATGGCAAAATGTTAAAGGCATCGGTGACCCAGAGCACAACGGTTTCTGTGCTACATTGCAGTTGAACCACTAAAGGATATCTTCAGAGATGTCTCAAGACTGGGAACAGTTTTACAGAAGTATCTGTATTCGTACCCATGAAGAACTAGGGTGTTATTTGCAAGTCTGCAAATCCCAAGCTGTTTTTTCAGCAGAATCACCTCTTCTGGATGTGAGGTATCTTCAATATCGAAACAAATAATGTCAGCCAGGATACATCAACACGCACTGAAATCCAGTACAGTTAATTCAATGGTTTCCTTTTACTCTTTTGTAAATATTAACATGGTTATCATAAATATTTTAATGTTTATTAACAACACCACTAGCTTCACATGAGCTGCAGTAGCACACACAGTATTGTTCTAAGACAGAAGATAGAGCACAGCAAAAGCTGTGCCAGTTCCCCAGATTCTTAACATTTTAATGAACAGATTGGAACAAAATGGTTCTGAGAAAAAGAAGAGAGCTTTGCTTTGAAAGATAAGGGTCTTTCCAAAGACTAGAAGAAATGGTCCATAGAGCAAAGAGCATGGAATGAACTGGAGAGAGGCACAGTCTTTATCTACGTAAGAGCAAGGATTGCTACATCTGGGCACTTGCTTTCGGGCCTGACAGGTATTTGGCAAATTTTTCACAAAATACACATAAATAGCCAGCAATCCAGGTAAATAAGGTTTCCATTTTTTTCTGCTGATCTAAATGAAATTGGTTGTGCCATCTTTATTTAAAAAAAAAAAAAAAGTATATAAAAAAAAAAGATGAAAACCATGGAGGTAGGCTTCCACGTGCTCTGTAGGTAGTGGCTCCCTCCCCATCCACAGCAGCACAAGACTACCAGCTATGAAGATCCTCCCAGTGGGCAGATAATTCTCTCTTCACTAGGCGGGGATCTGGAGGACAAGAACAGGCCGAACGCAAGCCAGGCCACAGCAATACACTTCAGGGAAATCCTTCTCTGCAGCAGCTGGATGAAGGTGCCCAGCTCACATCCTTCCCAAGGACTAAGCTGCTCGTTGCAGTGCAAGCTCACAGTACAGTTCCCACCTCCTGCCCCAGATGCCATCTTCCAGAGCTGACATTAGCTTTGCTGCATAAAGGAGAAATATGTGACATTAAGGCATTTAAATAAAACAGGTGTCTGCTATGTGACTGAGCTCAGCTGCTGGAATTCAGTGTCACACCCCCGAATTTACTAGTGCTCCCCCTCCATCAGCTGGAGGCTCATCACCCTGGCCTGTAATACCACTGATCCCTGCTGGATGGCACCAGACGCTCCAGTATTGGAGGTCACATGCCCTCAGGCTAGATTTCACTTACCAAAAGTGCTGAAAATGTCGCAAGTACTAAATAGGCTTTAGGTCCAAACGCATGCAAGAAAAAAAAAAAAAAGATTAAATAAGAAAAATCTACTTGTTTTAATGCCAGATTCTAATACCTTACCTTGCAGCAAGTTATATCATTTCCTGCAATTGGTCCCAGTAACACTGCACACAGGGATCAGTACACAGCCCTCCCTTTCCTAGCTGAAGCAGGATCTCACAGCCATACCACTCCTACCTCCAGGTACCTCAAAGTACCTACATGACACTGCTCTTACACGTAAGTTCTGTGTGAAGAAAGTTGCATTTGTTCAGCTAGCTCTGTGTGCAGTAAAGGTTAGTTCAGACTGATCCTCATCATGCATAATACAATTTTGTTCAAGTTACATCCAGACAAGATATTCATCATTTTTATGAGGAGAGACATTTGGAATCAGGACCATGAATCAATGCAGCAACAGCACAAAGCACTGACAGGTATTTAGAGCAAACAGAAAAGACTATCTACTCCAGAGCTAGGGCAGAACGGTTTGTGCTA